AATCATCAGGTATAACGTTTGTTATAAATCGTGTAATTATATATTTTATAATGTATGTAGAAAAACTTAATAAGTATTTTTTTCAAAAGAGTTCCATTTAAAAATTGAACTGTAAGATGTAATGTGAGATTGTGTAATGTAGGAATGTACTACAGTCATTAAGCAGAGATTCCAAGTGACCTAATTGTTCGTTGATGCGAAACTTCTGTGTCGATATGTAATAATTCAGATGATGTCGGCGATAGTGTGTGTGTAACGTCATATGTGACCTAATCGCGATAATTCATTGTTCCTTATGATGAGTAAATTGCCGCAACGAGCAATTCTTTTTAGTGTGACAGTAAGTTTAAAGAATGTAAGGTGGGCGTCCAGATAAGCAGCACGACACAAATCCACGAAGTCACTGACAAGTGGACTGAGCCATTTTAGCAGATGTAGAATAAGTGTTTGTGGTCCACAAGATGACATTATTGGATTGTTAGAGATCTTGATTGTAATGGTTCAAAATTTTTGAAATGGCGCAATTGAACCCGCAATTTCTAATCTCCAAAATATTAAACGTCTGAATTCCTCATCAACTCTCTTCAGATCTATTTCGTTTGATGATAAATCTTGAATAACGTCTTAGAAACCTCATCTTCTCCATTAACGAATCAGAAGGAAGGGCTGTGAACGGATATGATACGCTCTGCGGAAGGCACCTAACTGCCTCGCAAAGCGAACCCCCACCTAAAATCTTCGGGCTAAAAACGGTAGATCAAGTAACATTACGCCGAGACACAATAGGGTGAAGAATACTGATTGGCTGCCTATGCCTAACCGGGGGCAACATGAGTAAGTAGGTTATATGTCACACAGGAAGACAAGGGGGTCAAAAGTGTAAAGGCAATATAATGTGAAACAGTGAAGACAAGTCGGATAAATCCATCTAATTAGGTTGAATAATTTAGAACAATCAGACAAGAATAAGCCGGACAAACGAACTACGTATTACTCCCTCACAAATATTAAAAACCATGATTTTAGGAGAATAACTGGTGCGTTAAAAAATTATGTGTGAATAACTCAAACGAACATATTAATTTATCTATAAAAAGGCTGTCACAATTCAGAAGTACTCAACATATTCATACACACGCTTTACAAATTATTCTCTGGAAAAATATAACCACTACTGCATAACAATAACAACTGATAAAGGAATTGAATTGAATTTTGGATTTTGTACTAGTTGAAGAATGTTTTGCGATAGAAGTAGTAGAGTCAGTTATTTGATCAGATTTTAATTTTACAGGATGCTTAGGAGTGATTACACTTGCCATTATAGTAGTAGTTACAGTGATAGTACTTGTAGTAATAGAAGTAGTATTAGTAGTTGTAGCTGTAGCTAGAGTAGTAGTAGCAGTAGCGACGGGAGGTTGTGAAGCACGTTCTTTTTTACAACATTGTGTGCCCGTAGACCAAACTGGTTATGTTTTGGATTGATGCGGTGCTTCTGTCGTTGGAAAAGACTCAAGTTTTGTCTCTGCACCGATTTCAAGTGAATTGAATGTGATGGTTGTAGAACAGGAGACATCGGAAGTGAATTTTTGAACTGATTTCATCATAGAATTATTTTGCGACGTTTTCTTTGTAAAATTTATTTTGAACGTTGATGATTGAAAATACCATTGTTGATAAGATTTGTGATAAATCACACTATCAATATAAAGTGCTAATCCATTGGTAAATAATGGTCATGAGTTTGTTTCAGTACAATTTAAACTAACTGCACCACGCATTATTCGTTGAACGTGAAATCCTGAATGATTCTGAATGTGAAAAGTTAAAAGTTTTATTTGACTTAGATGATAATAATGAGTAAAGTATTCGTAATAATTATTTTAAGCAAAGATCAAAAGGAATCAATGACTACGGTTTCGTCCGATTCGGATTTCGTATTCAACTTCATGTACCTGCATCCCAGGAAGGATTTTAGTACCATAATTCAAACACATTAACTTTCTTGTTTAATATTGTGTTATTCACCTAATTATTGAGTACGTAAGCTGATCAATGGTTTGTTCAATCAATACAGGATAAAGAAGTATCGAGGGAAACTCTTCATTTGTATTTATAAACACATTGTGGGAAAACTATTCGACACCTAAAAGCACTTGTCGATATTTTTACCTCGGCATGAGGCTCATCGGTCGTGCGTATACGCGGCCCTTTTTTTACTCGAATGGTATGAACTTGAGATCTTCGGTTCTGGACCACTGAGCTGGTAGCATTAAACTGTATTAATTTGTCACTTTGTTGCAGCTTAGAAATTTGTGCAATCGCGTGCACCTGACAGATTGATCTCCACTATTCACGTCTTATCTTGCTTACAGACAATAAATTTCCATTTACACTGTCAAATAAATTCTTTGTGTTCATTTCTTAGTTTTCGTGTTAAAGGATTGTTATCGCTCACAATATTGTATCACGAAATTTGACTTCTTATAGTCTCAGTTTATCAAAAACACCTAATTATTCTAATGAATCTTTCTTTACTCGATATTAATGTTAACTTTTCCATCATTCCAAATGAGATGTGATTTATTCGCTTGTTTATCATTGAATCTGTTAAAAATTGTTAATTGTAAAAGCATTCTGACAATAAGTATTTCATTTTTGTAGACAATATGACATTCGATTGAGTAGAGTAAACAAACATATTGATTCTTACGAAATAAGTTTTACATGTGAAGGGTAATTATTGTTTTGATAATCCTAAAAGTGATCAACGTTGAAATAATGAATAAAGGAAGATCAGAGCAAAAGCAAAAGGCTAAAAAAACACATTGTCAAACTCTCCCTAGTGTTGTTAATAAAAATTTCAAATGATGCGGCATTTGTCTAACATTACATGATGAGAATATAATGTGTAATGAATTTAATTAACTAAAGATAACTGTTTGCTTTTCAATACGATTTAGGTTTATTCAACAGTGAACAAACCTAACGACAACGTTTGAGAAATAAATTAATCAAATGGAAAATCATGTATCCATCAATGTCAAAAGACCATAAGAAACCTGGAAGCACCAGTGACTAGCTCCGTAAGCACATATTTTCAAATACTAAAGTCTAGACCAGTGGAGTTCAACACTGTTTGGATATGACACAGTGTCAATACAAATTCACCTAATTCACGATATGAGGTGCAGCAACAAACCTTGTACGGAACTAGAAGTAGAAGCCCTGGACAGAGTAAATTGGAGAATACTGATAGGTGGCCTATGCTAAATTGGGGTTACCAGTCGAAAGTAAGTAAGTAAGTAAGATGTATCAAGTGCATAGTGAGCGGAAACCATTGCATCGATTCGTTTCCCTGATCTGTTTATCAGTGATGAAAGGAAACACTGATCACTTTTTCTTATCTTGCATGAAATGTTGTAGTGTGCATATTTGATAATCTTAGTCTACGCAGTACGAGGTCCTAATGGTTTTAATACAGGGCTTGTCTCCAGACTTCAGGGGACATTCACAAAATAGTCAGATTGCATCTGTCACAACAAATGTCGACAATCAATAGAATATAAATAAATTGTTCAAAGGTATGGAACATTGGTAGCACATTTTCTTACATACACGTTGCTTTATTGTTTCTACTCACCGGTGTAAACTGATCGCTCGAGATTGCTGTACGATTCAAAAATGCATATCATTTTCTAGTTCGTCGAATATAAATCGTATGAATAACTGTTATCAGTGCCAAAATATCAATCGCAAATTAAACTCAGCATACAGCAAACCATCCGTTATGAAATATTTAAATTAATCTATATGAATCCTAATGATGTGGCCCTTGCAGAATCTTAGATACACTGATTATTGATTCCAAAAATATTACGTTCAGGAATTCAGTGATTTAAAGCTTGCCTACAAAACATGTCACTCTTTTGGATTAGTATCTATCTAATATTTTCAAATTGATAGTCTGAGATTCGGAAGTGAGCATATTTTTTTGGCACAAATTCAGAAAGCAGACAGTATAAAAATGTTATTCAGATTAATACGCTCTTCGAGTTGTTCAGGATCAATTGTAATTTACAAACTTTATATTAAAACGTTATCCGTTCAAATCAGTATGTGCGTTAAGTGAACACTTCCTATTTACATACTCCTGAACTATGTTCACTCTCACTTTCATCCTTGGACGAGAATATTGAGGAAAATGCGTGTTTAAATGGCTGATTTATAACTCATTGATTCGCTTAGAATGTCTGATTGTTGAATGTATATCATCTCCAAGAAATGATTCAACTGAAACAGACAACTCATGTTTTTTGATGGAGTGCGGTGATACAAAAGTAATCAATGATGTCGGAATAAGTAACACTTCTGTTACATTGAAATTTTTCAATCTGCGCTATCCATAGAAAGAAACAACATATAAAGTGAATAATTTTTTTTTCGCATGACTATAAATTCTGTTTGCATTTGTTGATTTTATATAAGTCATCGTAAACGCGACGACTGAGTGCTAATATACATGTGTTTTATAGATGGTACGTGTAATGTGAGCTAACCGGTTGTCGTAGAAGATGTTCATAATGGTGTGTGATATGATGCGAATGATTAACGTATGTCAAACTTAGTGTAATTTTTGTGACTTTATGACGTATGTTTACAATACCGTTAAATGTTACTTAGGATTATTTGACATAATCATGGTCTTCCGTGAACACAAAGTTTAAATTCAGTAGTTTTATAGGTGCTATAAAAACAAGCGTTATTAAAGCATTTTCAACTAATTCAATCACCAAAGACTGAGGTGTTGTATGTATATCTGTAGCCAGCTGACGATTCCCATGTGATGCAAGAACCATCATTACTCTTATTCATACTTCATTTGATGTTTTGATCAATAAGCAATATGTTCCGAATTTCCATACAAAAAAATTGTTTTTCGAAAAAAACACACAATTTTCAAATAAAGCGTGCTTGAGTAGCTTATCAATGTAAACATAATAAAATATTAAGTCAGCGATTAATAATTGAACGAAAAAAGAGATTTTTTCATCTGAAAAGGGTTATGTTTTGGAAGAAAAATTCGATTGAATTCGAATTACAGTCTTCTTGTTACCGTTACAACTTCGCTGCTGACATTAAAATCGTTTTTTAAAAAAATTGAAGAAATACACTACAACAGTTACGGTTACACAAAGAAACAAATGTTATCACAGACGACAGCACGCAAAGATGATTTCTGCGTGTTTTTAGAAAATACATTTTTCGTCAGGCATCATTCGCGAATCGGGTTGACATTGATAGATTGTGGAAAATTCTGTAGTATGTTTCAGAATTTCATTCAACCTGGAAACAAGGAAAATAAACCTTCAAATGTGTGAAACAAAATAAGTTATCATAATGCACTACTGTAATATTTTAGCCACATATACACTGCAAGATTTTCGGCTTTGTTTGTTCAAAAAAATTCAACCTTCATACTCGCAGTATCTGTGACTCTCCCCGAGCGATTACGTTGTTACATTTATCACTCGGGAAATCTCTGACTTCACTTGGTTGATTGATTATTTTAGTGCGTTATTTTGTGGCAATTAAAAGTTTTATTTGATATCTGTATAAATTATCTTGTGTCTCGTGCTTGTAAATATTTCATTTTATGAGAGCTTGTGAATACTTTTCCTCAAAGACTTTATTTTATTAGGTAGCGAGGCCTAGAACAGTCAGATTAGAATAGCCTATTGTATCACTGCATTGATAATCTTCGTTACCTTTAGTGAGTGAGGTGGACTGTAAAAAGTTTCAAGTGTATCAACGTGCACTATTTTCATTGTGGTTATCGATCGTCTGGATTTGTAAGGTTAACCTTGCTTTATTTCTTCAACTGGGATAATTTTATGAATTTTGTGATACATTCAGCAGTCAACAATCTCTTACAAGTATTCAAACGTTTAACAGCATTGCAGTTTAATTAAAAGTAAGTATTACCATGGAATTACCTGGATTTAAAGTTTTGATGAGACGTCTGTACTTTGTCATCCATCAGATTTGAAGATAGTTCATTACAAGTTATCTTTAGTTTCAAGGAACAGAAAAAATCAGAGAGAATCCAGAAAAGTGAACAACTGCAGAGGAATTATAAATCAATAACCTCAAATTCTGAATAATGTTCAGCTAAGGAATGAAGGCAGTGAATTGAGAAGCCGCTTTGTAACACACCGTTTTACATACTAATATCAATAATAAGTAAAATGACGAATATATATTTAACCAAGCGAGAATACAAAGTGATCAACCAAATTGAGGTCTTCACGATTTTACAGATGTGTTGACTAATTGACGTGCTGTTTATGAAGACTTTGAAGTATGAAGCGTTAGAAAAAGTTGATGAAACGTGGCACCTGACTAATTTATCATTTAAACAATCAAATGAACCCTTCTTCAATAGATGAGCAATTTTTATCAGTGGAAATTTTTACTGTCATTAGATCCTTTCTCTAGGAAATAACATTTGAATCCCTTCAGTTAATGCATATTGTGAAAGAGTGAAACTTTCTTCATAAGCTACGGAATACAGCACCTCGCACAAATAGTGAATTTTCCTTCCTCAGTTAAGAAGTGCAGCAAATATTTTCCCAGAAAAAAACAACTATATTAAGGTGAGTGTGAATAATGTAATCAAGTTAGATACAAAAACAAACAGGTATCTTATCGAATGTTGTATTTTGTAACTCTAATCTGAAAAAATTCTTTCACATGAATAATTAAAAGTTCATTATTTTATCCTCAAAATCTCGTTACTAAAATGAACACGGTCGATTAGAAAATTATTCTGCTAAGAACCAAAATCATCTCTAAGCCGAAGTTTCGAATCTGTCGCTTATCAGTCAGTTAAAAAAAACGCACTGCGTATTGTATGAATGAACCCGGAGAAAACTACGTTAGGCGTATAACATACTTTAGCAAAGTCTTCGAAAAACATTTTCTTTTTTTCCAAATGATCGACATTCTTCGAAACCTCCTCCTTGTATTTCTACAAAACATTTGTGCGGATTAACATTAAAGAATACCAAATTTAAATACATGTCTCGAGTCTTTCATTATTGTAGGATTAATAAATATTTAAAAACCATACCCACAACAAGCAGTTGACGGTCTGTCGATGAAGTGCGAGCGGTGTGTCTATTTGAATAAATTCTATGCTTTATCATTTGCGTTTAAATCATATCATGATTAATCCAGCTAACAGATAAAATGTAGATCCTCTGTTAGTCACATGATATCAATCCTTCATTGAAGGTAAAGCAGCCACATAAGAGTATACGTTGAATTTTTCAATAAACTAAAAAACTCGTCCGATATTGTGTGCAAGATTTCAAAAAATAACCTGTCAATTGCGTGTGTTTTGTTGTATTTGTAGGCTGACTTTTCGTCACTCAATTTATATCGCCACGTACATTTGGATTCATGATTCCCAAAAATAAGAATTGGATGAAAACTGGTGACGAAGTACTATTATATTGTGATGTTTTGATGAGAGAAGATGAAATTTACTAGTTTTTAAGAAAAAAACTAATGTACAAGATTTTGGTGATTAGTATTTTCTCTAATACGAATATGATATAAATATCTATCAGACATGAAATTACTTTCGAAATCGCACTGATCATCTCATCACTTTATTTCGTAAATCTATACACTGTCGAATGAGTTTTTCTAATGAAAAAAACATTCTATGAAACTGACATGCAACTAATCTATTCATGTATTCTGTATGCATTGAACGAACGTTTTGAGCGTTCAGTATTGTAAGAGGTAGTGAAATAAAATTTAAAATACCATAAATTCATTGACTTACTAAAAAGGATAACATAAGAGCATTGATATCGACTGCCATTTGTTTTAAATCCTAGTTGAAATGGAAATTTTGTGACAACATTTATTTTACCTTATATCTGTGAAATATATATATATAGATATATTTATATATATAAATAGTTCAACTCATCCTGAAGCTCTTCAAAAACTACTACCAGCTCCAAGAGCGACTGGAGGAAAAGATTTCAGCATGCGATTAGAGACACCATTACGTAGAAAATCATTTAGCTGGAAAACGCTAACCACAAAACTCGATTAAATGTATTTTTAAAGGCTGAAACCCAGGAAGCACTGAACAATTGAGCTTGATATATCACATAACACTAATGTGACCTTTACTCAGGATACTGACATAATCAGTGTATTCGAAACAACACTTAGCAGCAGTTTCAAGGATTTTCACGATCTACTCTATGGGAATGAATCTACCATGGTAAACATTTATGAACGAATTAGAAACCCGTTCGTTTCATTATTTCAGTGGATTCTAAGTCTCTCGATATGCTATCGCAAAGAAAATGATCCCTGTTTCCACTCTTGAAAACAACTGAACAAAAGAGAAACAAGAAGTCACCATTTATCATCAGTCCAACGCAAAAGCTTTATGCACACAAGCAAAGCTGCAAGTGGGAAGGAGCATCAGAGCTAAAATAATTGTGAGGTGAAAGATCTATCAAAGATAGAAAAAATCACTACAGAGGGACGAAACCTGAGACATCTATTTGAAAGATCGAGTAAGTCCGCTCAACAACATCGTAAAGCAGAACGACGAGTATAAAGCAAGAAAGCAAATTAATCATCAACATCGTGGAACACCAAAACAGGTGCGTCGAGCTGTTCAACGATATCCAGAATCCACCAGCCTCACTAAACTCACACAACATCGTAGCAACTCATACGTATGTCTAATTTAGCGACCAACAATCGCATGGATTAGTATGACCGTCAGACTAATCAGGTGCGGCGTAATAGCGGACCCAGACAACATTCTAGCAGAGGTAGGGAATACAGACAGTGTAACACCTAGTGCAGTGAGCAAAACAACATTAGCTGTGAAAGTGCGATCAGTCTGATAAATCACAAAATGTAGCTGGGGAAATCTTGGATGGATAAATACTCAATAACCACAGAGATACTTATTAGATAACTAAACAGTTCATATTACTGTTTAAATTACCAAGTTTCTGTTCATTCTGTTACTAGTTTAGATTCGACATCGAACTCATTTTCACCGACAAATAATTTGCAAGCTAATTCTTTCTATACTTGATCAAATGGTGTACATTTATGTCGATGAAACTCTTATTCTGATAACAATTAAATCAAGTTTCATAACTTTTTCAAAATTTATGATTTGTAATTTATTTCTTGGGCTATTAAGAAACAAACTACGAATGTCGATCCATTTTATTGGTCATGAAGATTTGATAAGCTATCTGAAACGTTCCACAAGAACAGTGCTAAACATAAAATACTGAAAAATACTAACATATACTAATTGATCGTGGCAAAAACTCTGAGATAATCTATCTATTCTTGAACCAAAACGCCTTTTTCATAGACCACTTACCTTGTACTCAGCGGCTTCTATGTTTTCGTGTTTTGATAAACAGCACAATTGATTTTCATACAGTGATTCATCTTTCCGTTCACAATGTAACTGAGACTGTTGTTGTTTGCTTCGGAAAGCTGTAATTCATACGTCATTTTATTAATATTTTTTTTTTACAGAAATAAACAGAATGTCAGACTTTTATTTCATAAATGCTGTAAAGGCTATAAATTGTGTTAACTTAATAATAGTTATCAAGTCTAAATTAGGTGAGGAAATATAATCTTCATCAATTAGTTTTGAAAGCTTCATCAACACAATATTATAACAATTCATGTTTTAAACTAATCATGATAGTGAAAAGTGAACGCTACAATTGATGCGGTTATATTTTCTTATTATGTGAAACAATCTTTGTTACATTTCAATTCCAATTAGCACATTTATTTGAGAATTTTCAGCATCGATTTTTAAAAATTGATCAGAATAATGATTTAGTATTTGTACTAGATTAAAAAAACAACAATTTAATTTTGTTTTGTAAGTTATGGTACAAAATACTAACAATTTAAACCAGCTTTAATCCGTTAGACAGACTTATATTAAACGCTGTCCTGTTAGTCTTTTAACTCTCGAGCTTTTCATGTTTTTTTTTAACTTAGTTTGTAAATTTCACATTGATATCATCACTTGAAATGCTGGGAACAAGTCATTCTATTAAGTAAAATATGTTTTAGTTTTGAGATAGAATTGACAACTAAACATACACACAGTTAAAAAAAAAATATTAAGCTGATGATGTGTAGACGAGAACAGGATATGCAAATCTCAGCTGTTCCTTATTATTACAAAATTTTTAGTTTTGTAAACAATATGATTAGGCAAAATAAATTATCTAAAAATAATTACCTTCAAACCATAGTTTACGACTAATAAGCCACCCAAGAATTGCATATTTTTCAGACATTGAATTTGAAGCGCTCGGAAACGATGGTTTCAACAACATAGCGGATAAGTAAATTTCAGGATATGTAACTTCTTTTTTATCGCTGATTAAATCACTTTCAAGTAATTTAAAATATGAAACAAATATAAATTAACGTAGTAAAATTAATATTTTTTTCAAATATGAACTTATCAGTGAATCGGAAAACTCTGTCACTTAAGTGATCTTTTGTGAGCTGTTTCAACATTATGTTGTTAAAATAATCATAATCGACTTAAAAGAAAGATGATTACCAGTAAAACATTTCTGATTGATTTTGTTATTCTCTTGAATAATAAATTTTCGTGTAATTTGTGTTGATATCATTGGTACAAGTTGGTGTCATTAAGGTGCATTTTTGAGTATTCGTAGAAAACTGTTTATCATTATAGCGTGCAGAATCTCATTGTGCATTGAATGCTGAAGAGAGATAATCAGATGGATAGAATAACGTATGCTTCTATCTGATTCGCGTTGACAATTTCTCACTAAATAATTTAATCTAAGTGTACATAAAACAAAAGTGTATAAATAATTTCAAAAACCTTAAATATTGTGAGCCATCATATAAGATCGATTTCAAGATTGTTGTTGTGACTTGGTCATTTAATTAAAAGTGTGTATACATCCTTTAATATTTTTGCTTGCTCCACGTGTGTACATATGATCAAAGAAACTTAGAACATCAACAGCTAGTGTGTCGGCTGTGTCAAATGATCAGAGCGAACCCTGAGACCTACGCTTCTTATTTCGTTTTTATGAAATGTCCATAAATGAGAAGAGTACACCATTGCAGACCTACAATTAAGGTGAATTTCAGACTGATTCTGTTGCTTCTTTTTTTCAACATAGACCGTTTAATCTACGACTAGTAGCAGTAGACCGTCTGTTTTCAAACATTTTTTTCTGCACAAATATTATAAATATTTGAAACAAACACGAAAACATACAACTTACAATTCACTTGCTAATAAAATTCTGTGCATTGACTTAATGAAGTTTGTCTTTTGAGAATGGTAAACATTCATGAAATAGTTTTTTTTCAGATTTTGATTCTAAAAATATAATAAAATTGTTCAACAAAATCTATATACAGGAACCAATATTTTCAAAAAATGAATGACATAATAAGCAGAAAAATGCAGTTAAACATGAGGAAAATGAACAATAATTAGTACATGACAGATTCATTTGGAGAATGCTGATCTGCGACCTGTGTTTTAGTGAGAGTAACAGTAGTCATTGGGTATCTTAATAAGTGAGTTATTAGCTTAGCAAGTGTGTATGTAAATAGGTAAGTGTGTAATATGGAAATATTTCTAAAACGCATTGAGAAATGTGTAGGATTTTCGTTGCATAACGTTAGATTCACCAGAATAACGCACCCGAAGTCAATGAAGTAAAAGCTCTTTGAGTATTCGGAATATTTATTTGGAACAGTTAAATAAATATCGTATGTGGTTCTGCAACAAACAATTATTAATTTACTAGTTACTTACATTCAAGGTGATTAAGCAGCAACAACAACAACAACAAATTATCACAACGATCCGTGTCCCACACACCAAGCGAATAGAATGCCAAACAAAATGGCTGACCAAACAGTCAATGTTTCGACCAATAGAAAACAACTTCTAGATTGTTCGATCATACTGACCAATAAAATGCAAGTTACAAATTATATAGTAAACACTCAACTACTCATGAGTAGTACAACCATTACAACTGAATCCAACAAAATGAAATGTTTTATAACTGTTATCTAGTTCATCTTATGATATGTATCTTTTGGAATAACGTGACGGGAGTCGTTTGGTATGTTAATAAGTGAGTTATTTAACTGAGCAAGTAAGTGAGTTAATAGGTGTGTAAGTAGGTGATATTAACTAAACGCATTCAGATATGAGAGCTTGATAAAAGTAATTTTACTTACTTCACTGAAGTATTCTGAAACTTGTGACTTGAAATCAATTAGCGTAATCTGAATAATGTAATGGATTGGTTAGAATGTACATAAAGGAATTATATCAGACAAACCATGTCAAGTGCATTCTGTTTTGCTTCATTATCCTTCATCTTTGATGACAGCAACTTTGTCAATGAATCCTTCAATCCCACAAACATTTGCCGAACCTAATAAAATTAAACAAATAAATTGATCAAAATTTGTAAATCATATAGTTATTTTGATATGAATACATAAATCTACGGGACCAAACAGATGAAGACGGAATCCATTGCGATTGTTTGTCGAAAATCAACATATCAATGAAATTTCGGTTGCCCGTACCGTAATATCTGAGAATAAAAAGATGCCAAGGCCTAACCATTCATCATCCTCTCATTTTATGATTCAAATGAATCTCGGGCTCAAAAACTGTAATATTGATGCTGTCAAAAATGTAGTATAAGACAACTCATTGTCATGCTTTATCACAATAGTTTTATCACAAACACAACTCACTTCAGCTTCTGTGTTACTATTTATACTACGATATTCATTAAGTCGCTCAAAAATCCACGGGAAATTTTCTCTCACTTGTTCAATGCAAATGGTTGTTGTTTTATCTGAATTTTCTGTTGATAAACAACATTTTTTCATTTAAATTGAGTATTGTAATATGAGGAAACAGTAAAATATTGTCTTCTACCGGGAATAATTATATTCTAGTAAGACAATTTTTTTACGATCACTGTATCTGGATAGTACTAATACAAATGATTCTAAAAGCATTACTGTTTCAAATTAATACCTTTTATGACCGCTCTTTGGATTAAAGTTGATTGTTGAACTCACGCAATAACGAAAAATGAGTAAAAATGCTAACTGATTTATTGATTAAAAATCTGTAGATAATAGTGACCAAAATTCACCATGCTGTGAATAAATATGATCCTATTGTAACCGATATAATTTACTCTCCATTCGACTGATACTTTTCATTAATAATCAAAAATTGTTATTGACAAATGTGTCCGAATTCCATCAACAAAATATCATGTTGATATCATGTTGATTGTCGTTAGTGAACGAAACCACATTTATTCTGAATATTGTTCTCTATGTACTTAGTTGTTTTTTAACAGCTTGAAAATGTCACTTGAAAATTAACGTATTCACAACTGTATGATTGATAATGTGTACTTACTACTACCAGAAGGATGAGAATCTTTGAAATTTTCATTCACGGTACTTTTCATGTTGTACAAAAAACTGATCACCAACATATTGTGTAGATTTCTACAAAAGTAATAGGAAAAAATCACGTGTTTGACATATAAGCAATCACTTTTCGATTTTAAGTTAACAGCAGTGGTTGTTTGGAAAATAACACGTTCTTAATTCCTAAAATGTGTATGTATCACTTTGACGTAAAATGTAATATACAGAAAGTATCCAGTTTTTTCTATAATTTTGTTCTTTGTATTATTCATCTAGCTCTTTTGATATGAAAAATGTATTCATGAAATGATCACTTACATTTCATCTTTGTAAAAATCTAACTAACGACAATGGTAAATTAAACCAGATTAGCTTATTGTTTCAGAAATCGTTCTGGAGACTTGATTTATTCAGTGTGACGTGCGTACGTATATCACAGACAAAAATTATTGTTATAAGCACAACAATACAGCAACAAATATGTATGAATATGCATCGAATTATGTCCAACATTTACTTTTCACTTGAACAAAATATCTGAATGTGTGTGTGAGATTTAATGATTACATTCAAACGACAAAATCTTATATTCGCCTAATAATTTTCGGTAAGTTGTAACGCAAGTATAAACGAATAACTCTGCTTCATGGAGTATAAATCACTAAAATAATCTTTAGAGAAATAAAAACAAATAAATGATTCCGATCATAATGCGTTATGGACATTTTACATCGAATTACTTTCATTGTAAGTCATAGAGAATAACTGTACTATAGTAATGAGTTATTTGTCAATGTGATATTTGAAATAATCTCATTGATTGAAATTCAAATTCTCTCTTACGTTTCGTCCAGTGATCTTGTCTGGACATCTTCACCGTATATATAAACACAATTGTTGAAATCGTGAAAGAATATAGGACGTTGAATAATCAAAACGTTTGAGATGCTGAATTGATTAATTAGTCAAACATGATTACAGTGAGATGTAAATAGAGTGCTTTTAAAACTGAATAACTATTTGTATGTGTAAGTGTTAGTTTGAGTTATGGTTATTGGAGCACAATATGTGAATTGTGAAAACATAAAAGTGAATTGTGAAGAATTACTTTTTTCCTTCATTTGAAGTGATAGCGTTTTTAATTTTTACACAAGAATCACTGAAGATATTCCAACCTTGAACAACAATTTCCAGTTTCGAAAATGACTCGAATTTCATTTGAGTGCCTACACCGTTCATTAAATCTGACCAGTTGATCTAACAAAAGTAAATAACTCAAAATAGATTTCTGAAGAAAAAAATAGTTCCATATATGAAATTGACTTTTTCATGTATGTTCATTGTCATTCAGCTTATCCGAATCAACAATTCTCAATATAATTCCTTTAACACAGAAAATATATTGATTTGCTGATTCATTATCTTGTTTTACAGGTGTCAGCATATCACTGAAACATTATTGATAAAGACGGTCATAATATACCATCTGAAATTCCGTTGTTCTATTGAATGCATGCCAAGACAACCCAAAAATTTGGTCAAATATTTATATTTTATACAGTGTTGTACAATGGTAAAGGTGTTGATTTGATCTACTTGTATCGGTTAGTATTTTCTCTGTGGCATGAATTTGTTCTATTGTTGTGCAACGTTCAAAATTTTCATCCATAAATCATCTACAGTTTTCTCGGAGCAAGTTGACTAACATCGTTGACCCTGGCTAATGCTTTGACATTCTTAATATTGACAAGTACAGGTAAATAAAAAAAAGTTTGCCTGATTCGAAATTCACTTTCATTATGAAGAAAATATAAGCTTGAAGATGTTTTGAATGCTTCCATAAATTTCAATTCTGTAAATTAGCTTTTTAACCAAAGCAAATTTAACTGAATGTTTCTGAGTAAAAAAAAATGTAAGCGTGATACGCTACCTCAATTATTTGTACGATTCTCAACTTACTATCGGGCATTCACTGTTCAATTCGGCGAGTGTGGTTTTATGATCTCCAGAAGTAATTGGGGATTTCTGGAAAATACAATATGTCAACATAATTAGCAAAATAAACTGTGCTTGTGGCAACTCTAGAGTAACGGTCAGTGATCAATCAAATGAGAGCTGAGCATCTGGCTAGCAGCTTCATTCCCTGGAAAATGAGCACGCTAGAAATGTGCTACTAGGAAACAAAATTCAAACTACTTTAACTCTGTTCAATAAGTCAGAAGTTCTCCAATGAGAAGAGTTATGACATCACATGATGAATTCACTATGTCAATGGAAATTCTGACAATCAGAGTAACTAATGGATTGTGCCAGCAGTATAGAAGACAGAACTACAGCTGCGGATTGCTGCAATGATATAAACATACAATGTGAAACATGTTGAAAGTGTAGTGGACAAATAAGACAAGCTTCAGGAGAACAGCTGTTTAATTGTAATTATGAAGAAGTAAATGATCCACAAATACAACTGTTTTCATTTATGATGTCCACGTCATCTGGAAAAATAGAGAATAACTGAAGCCTTGAGGGTTATAAAGGCCTACTTTAAAACAAAGAAGAGTGCTTTTACATAAACCCTACGCAGTTCATTGCGTCCACCATTAGTTACAATAGAGATCAATTGTACGACAGCCTGTAGTCAATAGTGCAGAAATGCCCAAAGAAGGACGTAACAATTTTAATGGGTGACTCAGACGTCAGTGTTTTCATGTATATCTGTGTAATAAAAGATGGCATCGGATGATTTAAACTGGGAGAAATGTGATAGATTTGCAAGCCTGTATGTCTCCGAGAAACTGATTATGGGCACATATTTGTGACAAACGCTAAAAAACATCGGATCAAACCAGACAACACGAGATCGATGAGATGTGTATCACGAAAAGGTTATGTAGATCGATTTAGGACTTGAATAGAGAAAGGAGCTGATGAGGTACAAGATTACCCGAAAGTCATCTAGCCCATGACAACAGAATAGACAACCTCAAGATCAGAAAAAGTGAAATCACACAGAGAATAAACATAAACATACAAGTTAGTTAAAAGGAGCATCTGGGTCCACAAACGAAAATATTTGAAAGGTGTGGAAATGTAAGTAGAAAAGGCTACAAAGACCAGCAAGGTCGTCAGATAAATGCAGAGTAGCTAAGTAGCAGTACCAGAGATAACTGTTGAAGAAGCCGTATGACTAACCGCAAATATAGTCCATATTCTCGTCAGTCCAATTCATGATGAGGAACTACTAACAACTAACCGAAGAAAAAGACAAATGATCACGAAAACAAAGAGAGTCAATCTCATTAAGTGTGAAAACTGCATAGGTATGGTCATTTTCTCAATATCAAGAAAAATTATGATTGTTACATGTCTGAGAGAAAAGAAAACATATTGCGGAACGCTTTACCTGGGAAATCATACATTCCAGACATTTCAAAGAGTCGTTCGAATTAAAGACCGCTGTCAGGAAAGATTGCTTACTTCAACCCCTTCTGTTTCTCTTTGTGATAGACTAGATTATGCGGACGATAATCTAGGCATATGACTGAAATACATCAAACAGC